AGAGTGTTTGAGAAAAAAAAAAAAAAAAAAAAATAGAATTTACATTATACAAATATGGCTCACGCAATGCAAACGATACACTGAAGGGTAGGCAGATAATGAAAGAGGTAGTAAGTAGCTATTTTCTGACATGCAAAGAAAGCATCAATATTTAAAGTAAATGGACTAAGTACCCCAAAAAAAAGAGCTCAAAAGAAGAAGAAAAGCCAAAGATATTAAGAGAAGTTGAAAGCAGGTACAGGGATTCAGCTCCGTAGCCCTGAGGTCCTGAGTTTGATCCCCGGTTCAAAAAAAAGAATATGGACAAATGTTTACTGGGGATTTAGCTCAGTGGCACCACTGCCTGCCTTGTAAGCACAAGACCCTAAATTCAATCCCCAGTAGGGGAGTGGTGGAGGGAATGGAGCTAGGGATTTAGCTCAGTGGTGCTGCCACCTGCCTTGCAAGCACAAGGTCCTGAGTTCAATCCCCAGTACCACAAAAAAAATAAATAAAATTAAATTTTAAAAAAGGAAAAAAAAGTAGAAAGCTCCTGTTATCAGGAACAAAAAAGGAGTTTCAAGGAGAAAGTTACAGTGTCAATACAACAGTTCGAGGAAGACAAGTACAACTAGAAACCATGACTACATAAAAGAGGTAGGGTAATAATGTAAGCCAGAAAAGGTAGATTGATAAATTCAAAGGAAACAAATGAAGATTGTGGGAATCAGAATGCTCTAGCGAGGGTGATAACTAGAAAGTAACATAAAAGACTGCAGCGTTTTTTAAAATGGAAAATGAAAGCAGATGACTACACCTGAAATATCACCATACTGCCTTATCTTATCCACAAAATACACTAAAGGGTAAGGAGATCTGTGGGTGGCCTGAATGTCCCCATTCTTGCTGAGTGTGTCATCTGCAAAGCTTTCCATTTCCTGATACGGAATTATCTTGTGTATAAGCTGCACAGACAACAAAGATCAAGACAACCACAGCATATACCTGCCCTCACAAAAAGTGTTCAACCAGCCTGTCCTTTGCTACAATGTTTGCTGCTTGTTATTTAAAAAAAAAAAAAAATACAAGACAGGACAGGACAAAACAAAACAGTGTTGTACTCTTGGCTCGGAGCTCTCTGAGTTCCTCAGCTGAGACACATACGTACTCCTCCTGTCCCTCTGTACACCCTTTATCCTGCTGGGAGCGGGCAGTAAAGAAAATCTTGTCAAATATGCTGACCTTCATGTGGCTTGTTGTGCCATGAATAATAATACTTGTCTTTGCCTTTGGAGTCCTGTTTTGGGCCAGTAACCTTGAAACATTAACAGGCCAACTTATTAACTTGTAAATAGAGTACTTACCATGTGTCATCCTCTATGTTTTACATATATTACAGTATTTAATTCTCATAATAATCTGAATGAGGTGGCGCTAATATGAGAAAATAGACTTCAAGATGCAAAGTAATTAAGGCACTTCAAGAACTGCAAACAGTACAACCTAAATCTAAACTCAGATGACGTTAAAACCTGTTTTGTGCTGGGTGTGGTAGCACACACCTATCTCAGCATTTGGAAGACTAAAACAGGAGGATCCCAAATTCCAAGCAAGCCTAAACTACTACACAGCAAGTTAAAGGCCAACTTGGACTCCGTAGCAAGACCTCCTCTCAAAAAAACCAAAACCAAAAGCCTGTTTTGTTTTTATTGTACTGGGGAATCATCACTTCTCGGCCTGTTGGCTAAGATCAAGTGTATTGTACTGGGGGATCAAATCCAAGTCCTTGTACATTTGGACATACTAGAAGCAATCTGCCACTGAGGAGTACGCTCCCAGCGCCCAAACCTGTTTTTAATCATTGTCAAGCGTCCTTCTTAGATGACTTATCAAGGACAACTTTAATTCTCCAGATACAAGAGGAAAGTAGTCATATCTTCACAGTGTGACTACTACAAATCATGTTCCACAAAACAATTAATATTTTGGTAATATTGATATAATAAAAAATTGTCAAAATTAGCAAGAGGTAGTGTAAACAAATCCAAACCATTGTCATTGCTACAGAAATTTCTTAAGTTTTAATATGCTAGTTTATGTCATAAATTTTCCAAAAACACTTTTTTTCACCATTCTAGAATACTTTGGGAATCTGCTGTTACAATAAATACTGGAAATTAAAATTAATATTAGTATTCAGCTTGGTGCAGGCACATGACACTTTAAAATCGAGAACATCAAACTTTGAATGTGGTTGAAGAGCTTGCAAACCAAGTTAACTAGTTAATAGTTGGCAACATTGCTCTTTTCCTACCAGTCAAAACTAAATTTCCCATAACATGATGGAACTGCATATCACGCCTAATATTTTCCAAATTTAGAAGAATACCAACCAAAAAATTCTGTAGCTCTACATTGTTACCCACTGCTCTACTTTACAAAATTTGTATCTTTTTCAAAGAAGAGACCTCAGAAAAAGCAGTTTCCAGATAAAGCTTGTTGGCTGGTTAATAGTAGTAAGTCATATTGATGTTTCTGGGCATCACTGTTAACTTTCCAGTATGGAGAAATTAAATTGCAAAAAGCAATAAATTAATGGTATACTTTTTCATCTGCAAGTATATGTCGCAACATAGTCACCTTTTAACACTCAACAACCAAAGTCATTTATTGTTCGTTTATCATTCCAGTTTTAAAAAAAAATAAAACTGAGCAAAAGGCAGTCATAAAACAGTTGGCTTCATCATATAAACCAGACAGCGCTACTGATTGTTATCTAGCTACAAAGTCTATTCAAAACTTTAATGCAGGGCCGGGGATTTAGCTCAGCAGTTCGGTGGCCTGCCTTGCAAGCACAAGGACCCAGAGTTCAATCACCAGTACCAAAAACAAAACAAAACAAAACAAAAAAACAACTTTAATGCAGCTGCTTCTATAGTATATACCTCTGCATAGTAATTAATCAGGACATACTCCACAATATCAAATTATTCTGCATTGACAGAATGTAAAATTAGACACTACAGAAATCAAAATGCAAATTTTAACCACACTAACATTTCCTAATGCTTTGTATTACAATGAAAATAAACTGATTTGGTACCTAGAATGACTGATTTTTAACCTCTCCTCTCAAAAAATGCCTCCACCCATTCAAAGTCCTTACAGGGCATAGCTTGAGCTGGAAATGGGGAGGTAAGGCAATAAAATGTAAGTATTGTTCACCTATTTGAAAGAAGTTGTAGAAAAAGAATATTCCAAAACAGAAAGCAAATTTCAAATTTTGGCAAAAAGTATTTTGAAAAATAGTAAGTTGCAACTAGTTACATCTATTTAAAGCAAATAAGATAATATAATAAATTAAGGTATAACTACATTAGTTAAAAATGTTTTGAGTAGTGATTTATGTCTGAAAACATGGCTTATTCCAGTAAGCAAAAGCATGTAGAGAAAGAATTTTTCACTAAAGCACAGAAAAAGAAAGAATTCATATCAGCTCATACCATTAGGTAAAACAAGAACAGGAAATATTAGAAAAATGAAAAAGCACCACTGCTATTGTTCTGCATTTATCTACTGAATTTTATTTTTGCTAATATTTACAAAACCAAGAATGGCTTTTTAAAAAGTAAAAAGTGTATACACTGACAACTTGAAAAATACCTTCTACATTGGCAGCAATATTTTCCAAGTTGTTCTGAAAATACTGAAAAACATTTAGAGCAGTGATGGTAAACTTTTAGAATGCCCAAACTTACAATCCAAAACCCACTTATTTATCTCATGGTGCCAACACTGCAATTAAACCTGAATACTGAGGTTTTAGTTTAGAAAAACAACTCATACATTTAACTTCTTTTGTCTTAAAAGAAAAACAGTAACACACGTGCCATAGGTTTGCCACCAATTTAGAGGATTTAGAGGATATAAAACAGATGACACTTGAGCTCCTGGAAAAATGAAAAATCACACACAATGGAATCTCCTTTTTTCAGTATTCTTCATATTTGTTAAAATGCACTTAGTAGCAGAAACAGTTCGCAATATGTGCAAAAATACATAAAACATGAAATCTTAGACTAACATATTTACATTCCCACAATTTTACGAACTCTAAACTGCACCATCAGCAGTACGCGTTTTTCTCCTCTCCTTCGGTAAATAGGTTTAACCAAATTATCACCTAAAAGTTTACAGATCAACCTGCTACCCAGCTGTAAGAGAACACTCAATTACACCGAGTCCATTTTAAAATAAGGCCTATAACATGGATCTCCAACGACATCATCATAATACACGAAGGAATAATAAATACAGTAAAAAAAACTGACAAAAATACAGAAAAACACCTTTCACACATTTAAACAGTTAAGAAGTTTATATGATTGTTGTAAAACCTACTGAATGAAAACTAATTTTTCAAACAAGAGCAAAGCTTTTTCTAATAAAGTGTTCCCCTTCTTGCTGTGTGTACGTACATGTATGCTTATGTATATACGGAATACATATGATGGGGAAAAAAGCCATCACTTTTAATTACTAACATAATGAAAAAGGGCAAAACGATAAGGTTAACTAGAGAAAAGACAAGATCAGCACGACAGGTATTCTCTACAGTTCCACAATTCCTAACCCACATTTTTACCAAATTCACTTCCCATCCTGAGATGTGCTTACCCCCGCCCCACCCAGCCTTCCACCCACCCCATTTATGACGGCAGTCGTCTTCCTAACAGGTACATTTAGCCCTATGTGCAGTACAAAATCGACTGAAATGTCTGAGTGCGTCAGGAAATAAATGATGAAGTGAGAAGATACAAATAAGTTTTAAGGTGAGGAGAGAGTGTTTTCAATGGCGGGCAAAAGGTGCGAGTGGGGCCACGAAGAGACCTGGGGCCAGAGGGCAGGGTGTTGCTGGAGTCACGAGCAAAGGTCCACCAGAAAAAGATGTGAGGCCAGAGGAGCTAAAATAATAACCACTAACACGTCCTCTCGGGGAATGAGCTGAGGAAAGCGACCCTGGGGTCCCGGGAGTCGCAGAAGGCCGGAAACTCACCACCTGGTAGCGGCCAGTCCCCGGCTGGTGATGATCCATCCTGCCGGGCTCGGAATCCGGCTTCCGCGCGGGCAGGTCGCCTCGGCGCTCAGCA